AGTGTACGAAGCAGATGGTAAGAAAGCAAATCTGCAAGCAGCTCATCCATACACCCTGTGTCTATCATTTTCTCTGTCGAGATTACCTGAGGAGGAACGTGGACTGTTTCCATTGGGATAAAATTCTCCTGAGACGTACTTAAGCAGCAATTACTGTGTATTCAGAGCAAACAAAACAATTTAAGCCAGGTGATGAGAGGAATGTAGAATTCATTAACCTTCTGCCCACAGCCCCTCTGTGAGAAAAAATCCGATTGCTTACAAAAATTGATTTAAAAAATGGGAGGTGGTGGCACTTTCAGGTGTGTGTTTACAAAGCTGTCCCAAACATACCACCCTGCTATGAAAGAGTTTCTGTTTTTTCTTTAACAAATTAACATAAACTCGAAAAGACTGACTTGTTCAGGGTCTCTGGGAGGCGAAATGTGCTTCCAGGCAAGATTCAGCTCTGGGTCTTAGGGACCCTCTCCTCAAATTACTCCAGACATCACATCACTAAAACACCGATCAGACCCTGTTCATCCATGATAACTGCATATACCGAGAGGCTTGGAGGACATGGCTGAAAATACAACAAAATTATACCAGCTACACATCATAAAGTTTTTGAGTCACTGCAGAACTCAGAACAAAATGAAATTTCCATGGTAGAACATGTTTAAAACACGCACAAAATCACTCTAGATTTTAACAGAATATTCCCTAAGGAGAAAAAAAAAACCATAGATTGTGACCAAGATTAATCATGCAGCTTTTCCTCTAATTTATTGTAGTGGAAGTTAAAAGCCAAGAACTGTTACTGAACTTGCATCCCATGAATTCACAGATGAGCCAAACCCTCCTTGACTCATTTCTGTCCTAACCCCAAGAGATCTCCCAAGAGCAATGCTGAGCCTCTAATGCTTGATGGGCTTGTGTGTAGAGCTTGGTGCTTTAATTTCCTTTTTGCTCTTTGTTGACCATGGAAGCACCATGAGTTGTTGCCTTATCTCATATTGTTGTACTCTGTTATTGCTGTTGTGCATTTTATTTTTTCATTTTGGAGTTTAGAAATGTTTTATTTTAGAAAGGTAACACCATTGTCCATTTTAAATGCAATCTTCCTATTTAGAGTTATTCCGCCAAGATAAAGAAATATTCTTCATACAAGTAACTGTCTTTCCAGATATCCCACAGTCATCCTTTTCAGGTTTTAAGTCATGTTCATTCTCAAGGAAACTTTCAAACTGATTTATTCACTCATATTTCTTGGTAAGTTTCCTTTGCCTGCCTGCTCCATGTTAGAAGGCTTGAGGAGGATGAAGAAGAAGGTTTGAAAGGGGATGACCTCAGAGGAGGTTTGTGAGAGATGACCTGCATGACTATTAAAGACCCAGAGAGCGCTGTCCAGCATTTCATCACTTTTAATGAATCACGAGGTGGCATTATCTAGGATTATTACACAATTAATTCTGTTGGCTGATTCTGCTTAGAGGCCCAGAAACATAGATTGCTCTTCATGAGAATGGCCCTGCTTTCTTCCCCATGGCTAGAGACCAGGCACAAGTTAGTGATTCTTCAGGACTGTCAGATATGCGTTTTTGCCTCATGTTTGGTTTTAGTTTTTTCTCCCTTCTCTAAATGTTTCCTTTTTAAGAGAACCTAACTTTCTTCACAAGAAGTTTGGTTTCCCTGACCTCCCTCACTCTCTCTTTTTCTGTTTCTAATGGTCCTTGAAATGAAATGTTTTCTTGAGTTTTCCTTTGCACTTGGGCAGCCTACTCAATGACTCTTAAGAGAATAGCTGGTGACCTGTGGTTCTCTCTGCAGAAGAGAATGCACATTTTGTATTCTGGCCTCTAAATACATGGGTAGATTTAAAAATGAAGACATAAGATCATCTCCAGCATGGTGTCAAACATTCCTTCCAAGCTAAACCTTGATTTTTAATCTTCCATCACTTTGGTCTTATGGATGAATCTGCGTTTATGAAAGCAATACTGCTTCTTTATAGGCTGACCTCAAGTTATATTGGAGAAGGAAATGGCAACCCACTCCAGTATTCTTGCCTGGAAAACCCTATGGATGGAGGAATCTGGCAGACTACAGTCCATAGGGTCACAAAGAGTCGGACATGACTGAGCGAATTCACTCAAGTTATATGTTTCTTCTTGAAGACCCTCCCCTTGGGAGGTTATAGGAACTAACACTCCTAATGATGATATTTATGTTAGCATCACATTCTGGGTTTAATGAAGGCTGTGTGTATGGTTACAGGCACTTCATCTGTTACGTCTCTTACAGACCAGAAATCTTCCAAGTGGTTCTTTGCATGTCATGATCAGACATACTGAAATCTCAATATATACCAAATCTCTCTTCCTGTCATATGTGTGTGGCAATTTTTGATTTCCCAGGTTAGTGCTTTCTTGTTGAGAGTGCTGCAAGTACTGCATTCAGCAATTGCTCTTTGGGTATACATTTTCTTGGCAGAAAGCAGCCCCAAGTTCTACTGTTAACATGGTTCTGACTTGGGTTTTCCATATAAGTCCATTAATTCTACCAAACAACCAACCAGCTGACTGAAAAAAAAATCTGTCTAACTAGCTCCTTGATCAAGCCATGAAATTGAGATTATATTACACTGTATATTTGTATCTTATTATAGCGGCCAATGTCATATATTTGAAATGTGCTTAGGATCTATAGGATAAACAGATGCAACTCAGATAATATTCCTACAAAACTCCAACTTAATATGTTGATAATGAGTAGATTCTAGTATGAAAGTTAAGTGTTGGTCGCTTAGTGGTGTCCAACTCCGCAACCTCAGGAACTGTAGCCAGCCAGGCTCACCTGTCCATGGAATTCTCCAGGCAAGAATACTGAAATGGGTTGCCAATCCTTTTTCTAGGGGATCTTCCTGACCTAGGGATTGAACCCAGATCTCCCGCATTGCAGGCAGATTCTTTACCATCTGAGCCACCAGGAAAGATTACAGGCATTGGATGAAATGCAATGGATGAAAGCATTGGATGGGAAGCAGAAAAGCTGAGATCTGTCCAGCTTTGTCACAACATATCTCTTTTAACTCATCTGCGCTTGTATTTTCTCATCTGTACAATGAGGAGATTGGGTTATAGCTTCTTCTATCTCAGAAAAGTCAAGACTACACCTTCAGTAGTGGTCTGTTGCCCCTTCTTGACTTTGAAGATGGTGTAGACCTTTAAAAGGGTCCTTGTTGAGATTTCTACGTCTTTTAATCATTGGTTTCAGAATATAGTTTTATTCAATTTTACGGCATAAAACTTTTTTTTTAAAGAGACATGAACTACCTATTGTCATGAAACAGGGAATACATGATTAATTGGGTGGAATGACATGAACTCTTTTAGGTTGCTTTGTTCTTCATTATTTTATTCAACAATTAGCTCCTAAAACCTCCAAGAGCTTGGGCTCCACACAGACACTGTCTCTCCAGGTTCTGGTTCCAGGTGAGAGAGCGATCTCCCACTATGAACAAGTTAATCTCTGAGGCCCATCAGGGAGGTGATGACCTAGGGAACCATTTGCCTGTTGAGTGCACACATCTGGAAAACTCTCCTTGGCAGAGCAAATACACTGTTCTCAATTTTTCATCCCCATCAGTGAGGAGTGGCTTTTTAGCAAGACGTAACCACACAATAATGTAACAAAACCAGCTAACGGCACTTCATTTATTATAGGGCTAAATGCTCATTATTGTTTGTAAAGGATGAACTCAACGTCTTCAGAGTTACAGTTTATACATGGTTGATTTCCATTTACAAAGAGAGAATGTCCTTGTTTTCTCTAAATGTCAAGCTTTGACTTACAAAACTCCCGTTTTCTTTTAGGTGGGGTGTGTGTATATTCAAGAAAATGTTCAGCAACTAGATGGGAGAGAAGAGAAATAAAACTTGAAATGTAGAAGAAGGGAAAGCACATTTCAAAAATTCCAAACAAACAAAACCCAAAAAACTGAGGGGGTGTCATGGAAGGTCTTCACAGAAAAGACCAATACTGTATGCTTCTTTTTAAATGTGCTTCCTCCAGGAGCAGAAAGAACAAGAAAGACTGGATTTTTCCAACAGGAGTGTGAATCTAGAAATTCTTAAACTAAAATTCGTGTAATTTCATTCTGCAAAGAGGCACTTTGCTAATGCAATTGAAATAAAAATAAAGTGCCTACCTGGGTGTTTCCAGGATAACTGTAAGCAAATAAGACTAATTAGAAGCCTTCACAGTCTCTAATTAAAAGCTAGGAAATAAATCACTCTGAGATACAAGAATCCCTGGATGTTTGGAAGAGTCTCTTCCCCAAGCCTAAAGCCCCTGTTCCATAGAGCACATCATTTTGGAAGCAGGGCATAGGTGGATCCAGAGCTTGGTACTCATGGATATAGACCAAAATACACATTTGGGACAATGAGTACAGGAAATAGGGAGGGGTAGTATTTCAGTACCAGTTATACTTGAAAAATATCCTTTAAAGAGAATGAGAGCTCCCATGGGACAAACTGAGACGCACTTTCAGTTGAAGTGAGAGGAAAAATTGAGGCACTTTGGCTTAACCTTTGGGGACTTTTAAACGCAACTTTTTTACATCCCATGATCAGTTGCTTCTTTGGAATCAAGTTATTATTGGGCATGGGAGACAGTGTGAAATGAAGAGAGGAAATAGGCATACAGTGGGGAAGGGAGGGAGCAGGAAATCTCACTTTAATGAATAATAATTTTTTATAAGATAGGTCTGCCATATTCTCTTCCTAATCAGTTTGATTGAAAAGCAGAAATCCTACTTTCTTAAAAGCACAGTTCATTTGTAATTTTGAAGAGCCAACTCATTAGGAAAGACCCTGATGCTGGGAAAGATTAAAGGCAAGAGGAGAAGGGGGAGACAGAGGATGCAATGGTTGAATGGCATCACTGACTCAATGGACATGAGTTTGAGGAAACTCTGGGAGACAGTGAAGGACAGTGAAGTCTGGTGTGCTGCAGTCCATAGGGTTGCAAAGAGTCAGACCTGACTTAGCGACTAAACAACAACAATGACAATATAATGTGGAAAAAATAAAGTGACCAATCAACGTAAGCATTTCTGGGAGGTGAATCTTAGGCAATAAGTGTGGACCTGCAACAATTCAGATGGTGTTTCTTTCATTTGGGTTCAGAAATTACGGCTTCGTATATTTCCAAAAGTTTCAACATTTCCTTGTATCTTCTTACAGTCAGGCATTCAGAGGTACATGTTGGTTTTAATAGCTTTGGTAGAAACATGCTGAAAATAGGAATGAACATAAAAACCTTTTTCTTTAAGATAGTTTGGTGTGGTTTTATAAGGCCTGAGTAAACTGGTATATTAGTAAATTTCTTAAAATAATACAAATTAATATAAGACACATAGTAGAACAGCAGATTCAAGAAAAAAAAAGGTTAGTGTCATATTCTCATGTTTTGTAAAAGACATCACGTAAGGCCACCAATACAAGAACCAAGTTCTTTTTTTTTTTCAGTTTTCCTGTGATGATTTCCTATCAGTTTCATGTTCTTGGAGGGGATGATGGAAAACTCAAGATGGCCTTGATTTTGTTTCCCATGTGGTCAGCAGTGGCACTGGCTGGGATCTGGGCTCAGCATTCTCATGGAGTGTGCAACGTGGATGCTTCTGGCTGGGAGGGAGGAAGTGGCAGTTGGCTGATAGTGTGCTGTGCTTGGGAGGGCTCACAGGGCGGAGGGGCAAGCCTCTGTCTGGGTCAGGGACTTCCTCTCTGGTCATGCCCTCCTTTTGGCTTGAGCTGGGTCACAGAGATTGGCTGCCATTCTTACCCTCTGTGGGGTGGCGGTGGGTCTCCAGCCACCTCAGATAATGGAACAGCAGCTGAGACACTGGGAGCAGTGTTTCTTCTTTTTCTTGGGATGGAAAATGGTGAGGATTGCTTCATCAAAAACTGCTTTGAGACCTTTCTGGGTCAGGGCCGAGCATTCCAGGTAGCACTGTGCTCCAATCTAAAACACAAAGAGAGGCGTGAGAGGAGAGAGAGCGAGGCACAGTGGTGTCTGCCCTCTGCCCAGCCAGGAGCCACCGCTGCGTGTCTCACATGCAGCCCGGGGATGGTTGGGATCACTTTTCCTTCTGCGTTTCAACTTGCATCTGCTTTTCTTTTTGGTGTTTTTATATATTTTGCTTTCTGATAAAACATTAAATGACTATGGATTGCTTCTGAAAAAAACAAATTTATTCATAAGTATAAGAACATAAAACATAAAAATTAAGAGAGGATTCAAAACCAGTGATATAGTTGAACTATTTTTTTTTGTGAACTACAGGGTAGGTGATGCTGTTTTTGGTGCCTTCTCATTTGTATGCAGAACATGTGAATGTGGTACAAGTGAAATGAATTCCCTTCTGTGCATAGTAGGGCAGGGTGTCAACTTGCTTAATAAAGCTCATAGAAAGAGAGTGGTTTTATAGAGAGTGATATGGCTTTAGAGGTCATTTTTGATTAAAATGCACTTCTGACAAGGTGTCTCTCAGCAAAGTAATATCTGATGGGTTATATTATTCAGTTTTAAGATACATTAAAAGGCATATGTTAAGCAGTTAAAAAACTCCCAAAACACATAAAAATAAAGGTCATAAAATATATCTACTGACACAGATATCCTCTTTGTCAATATACAGTCTACGTGTATTTAAATGACAAAATATCTTGTGCTTGCCTAGGGCTTTATTTCAAAGCTTTTGATGATTTCATATTATGACATATTGGATAATCACAGATCCCTATGAGAAATATAAAAATTCAGGCCAGAGTTACAGATTCTCATTTTTAAAAAATTGCAGGTAGAGCAGCCCATGTTTGGCAGCCAACTTCATGAGATAATTCATGCGAGCAAGATCTGGGGTTTTAATTGCTCCCAGCTCAGTATGAGCTAACAATTTGATGTGGACTTTTTAATATTAAGGACATGTGGACCTGCAACAATTCAGATGGTGTTTCTTTCATTTGGGTTCAGAAATTACGGCTTCGTATATTTCCAAAAGTTTCAACATTTCCTTGTATCTTCTTACAGTCAGGCATTCAGAGGTACATGTTGGTTTTAATAGCTTTGGTAGAAACATGCTGAAAATAGGAATGAACATAAAAACCTTTTTCTTTAAGATAGTTTGGTGTGGTTTTATAAGGCCTGAGTAAACTGGTATATTAGTAAATTTCTTAAAATAATACAAATTAATATAAGACACATAGTAGAACAGCAGATTCAAGAAAAAAAAAGGTTAGTGTCATATTCTCATGTTTTGTAAAAGACATCACGTAAGGCCACCAATACAAGAACCAAGTTCTTTTTTTTTTTCAGTTTTCCTGTGATGATTTCCTATCAGTTTCATGTTCTTGGAGGGGATGATGGAAAACTCAAGATGGCCTTGATTTTGTTTCCCATGTGGTCAGCAGTGGCACTGGCTGGGATCTGGGCTCAGCATTCTCATGGAGTGTGCAACGTGGATGCTTCTGGCTGGGAGGGAGGAAGTGGCAGTTGGCTGATAGTGTGCTGTGCTTGGAAGGGCTCACAGGGCGGAGGGGCAAGCCTCTGTCTGGGTCAGGGACTTCCTCTCTGGTCATGCCCTCCTTTTGGCTTGAGCTGGGTCACAGAGATTGGCTGCCATTCTTACCCTCTGTGGGGTGGCGGTGGGTCTCCAGCCACCTCAGATAATGGAACAGCAGCTGAGACACTGGGAGCAGTGTTTCTTCTTTTTCTTGGGATGGAAAATGGTGAGGATTGCTTCATCAAAAACTGCTTTGAGACCTTTCTGGGTCAGGGCCGAGCATTCCAGGTAGCACTGTGCTCCAATCTAAAACACAAAGAGAGGCGTGAGAGGAGAGAGAGCGAGGCACAGTGGTGTCTGCCCTCTGCCCAGCCAGGAGCCACCGCTGCGTGTCTCACATGCAGCCCGGGGATGGTTGGGATCACTTTTCCTTCTGCGTTTCAACTTGCATCTGCTTTTCTTTTTGGTGTTTTTATATATTTTGCTTTCTGATAAAACATTAAATGACTATGGATTGCTTCTGAAAAAAACAAATTTATTCATAAGTATAAGAACATAAAACATAAAAATTAAGAGAGGATTCAAAACCAGTGATATAGTTGAACTATTTTTTTTTGTGAACTACAGGGTAGGTGATGCTGTTTTTGGTGCCTTCTCATTTGTATGCAGAACATGTGAATGTGGTACAAGTGAAATGAATTCCCTTCTGTGCATAGTAGGGCAGGGTGTCAACTTGCTTAATAAAGCTCATAGAAAGAGAGTGGTTTTATAGAGAGTGATATGGCTTTAGAGGTCATTTTTGATTAAAATGCACTTCTGACAAGGTGTCTCTCAGCAAAGTAATATCTGATGGGTTATATTATTCAGTTTTAAGATACATTAAAAGGCATATGTTAAGCAGTTAAAAAACTCCCAAAACACATAAAAATAAAGGTCATAAAATATATCTACTGACACAGATATCCTCTTTGTCAATATACAGTCTACGTGTATTTAAATGACAAAATATCTTGTGCTTGCCTAGGGCTTTATTTCAAAGCTTTTGATGATTTCATATTATGACATATTGGATAATCACAGATCCCTATGAGAAATATAAAAATTCAGGCCAGAGTTACAGATTCTCATTTTTAAAAAATTGCAGGTAGAGCAGCCCATGTTTGGCAGCCAACTTCATGAGATAATTCATGCGAGCAAGATCTGGGGTTTTAATTGCTCCCAGCTCAGTATGAGCTAACAATTTGATGTGGACTTTTTAATATTAAGGACATCTGGAAAAATGCGTTTATTATATGCTTCACATTATAAGAATAACTTAAAAATTAAAGTGTATTCAGGAGAGGGTGGATGGATGGAGAGCTCCTGGAAACCAACAGATAAATGACTAAAACAGGGTAGCAAAATCACATGTTGATTAGGGCCAGTAGCTCAGGTAACTGAGTAAAGTAGGGCTGGTACCAGACAACAGGGAGAGGTAGAGACTGCGGCATCCTGTGGGTGCACATCCCTCTAAAGCTGGCAGTCTACTTGGCTTTGGACCATTGTTGTCATGAAGGAATGTTGGTTCATTCTTGGCATCTCTGTGTTTTTGAAGAGGATGTGGGCATTTGGATTTTAATTAATATTTACCCATTAAAAAATACTCTATTGGCCAAGCAAGACACTAATGTGGGGTGCCTTGGGCAGCAACCCGCCAATCTGTATTGCTTAAGAAGACCCCACTAGAAAGTGAATGAGCTAGACCTGGAATCTGGGTCATGTTCTTTCCCTGGTCCATGATGGAAATTCTGACCCTCATCACTCAACTCTGGTTAAGCTGGCAATGAAATGAGGCTGCCCACTTGTTTGAAAGTCCACAGATAAGAAAACTAAGCATGAGGTAAAATTGTTCTGGTGGGGTCCAGATATGCACTTTTTCCCTATATGGTTATTGGTTACTATATGAGCCAAAAAATTTCCCAAAGGAAGCATGTTACATATTGAAAACTTATTTTATGGTTTTGCTTTGACCATGGTCTGGATTAGGAAATAGCTTTTTTATATAATTAAAAACAATTGAATATAAGAGAGGGATAGTGAAGTGAAAGGCACTCAGTCGTGTCTGACCCTTTGCAATCCCATGTACTATACAGTCCATGGAATTCTCCAGGCCAGAATACTGGAGTGGGTAGTCTTTCCTTTCTCCAGGGGATCTTCCCAACCCAGGGATTGAATCCAGGTCTCCCACATTTCAGGCAGATTCTTTACCAGCTGAGCCACAAGAGAAGCGAGGGATAAGGATTAGAAAAATTTTTCCTAATAATGTCCTGAAATGTCATCTCTTACAGTTTGCGATTGTATTCAGGACTCAATATTAACACATGTGAAAAGCACACTAGTTTAATGAATGTGTCTACTGAATGAGTGGCTGTAATGTACTGGCTCTTGTCAGTCATCCAGAAAAAAATACCCAGAACACGCCGTGGGACTGTTGTATCTAGAATACCTCCCCGCTAAGATCACAAGCCTCAACTGACTCTGGAAATTACAGGACAGCTGGACGGAGCTGGGTTCACACATGGAATTCTGGACCATCTGGTCCTGCAAGATGGGAGAGTGCACATTTTCTCCTTCTCTTGTCTCTCCCCCGCCCCCGCCACAGTGCTCCTGACAACCTATCAGAGTTTGCCTTTTGATGGAGCACGAGGAATCCAAACTTGTCTTTCCCAATTCAGACATTTCTGAAGATAATCAAACAGTAGATCAAGGCATTATTGTGTAACTGGGTTAATATAGGATTATTTTGTACTGATAGTTACAGGAAAAGCAGCAAACAGATTTTGCGTGTGATTTGGGAAATATGTGTGAGAATCAGAACCCAGTTGTGAGGTTAGTATTGCTAACCAAGGATCAGGTGCTCTAATGGTCAGAGGAAAGAATCCATCCTGATGCAGGTAAGACTTATTCCCTATAACACAGTCATGTTATAGGGACTGCTAGAAAAAAACTGTGTGCCCTCCAAGATGCAAAATGCAAAACCATCCCAAGGAAATACAGCCTCTTTTATAGCAGCAACTTCATCTGCCTCTTGGAGCAGAGTGACCTACACTGTCAAATATTTAGAATCCATCTGCAAGTGCTCAGGATTCACAGATCTTTGTTTAGATATACATGTTAGCAATCTGGGACATGCTTTACCAAAATGATGTGTTTTCAGGAACAAAATAGACACTGAGGAATGTAAACTGAGAGAACATTTTCCTGATAACTTTATAATAGCTGTAACTTAATGATTCAGAAGATGGGAAATTTATCAGAGGTATACAGAACATAAAAGAGTCTGACAAGAAGAAAAAAAACAGGCAAACAAACTCACAGTGACCAATCAAGTGAAAGAAAACCAAGTGCTTCTTCCAGGTGGTCCTTGTGGAGGTGGGACATGTTCTAGAATAAGATAAGGCATAACTGGAAGGAATAAAATGGAAGATCTGCCCAGCTGCAGACATATCTGAGAGGACACAATGTCTACAACAGTGCTAGCTAGGTGAGCTAGACCTTGTGGAAGGTACACTGGCTCACTAAGTTGAGAGGTAAGTCTCTCACCATTCTCCTTTGCAGCTTAGAAAATTGATGTCCATAGAGGTAAGGTAACCTCCCTAAGGCCATACAACTAAGAAAATGGCAGAGATTCGAATGTGTCTGTCTCCTGAGCCTGAGTCTTAACCATTCTGTTGAGGTCTCTCTAGCAAATGTAAAGAAATGTGATGAAAAAGCAAAATAAACAGACGGAGATTTTGTTATGACAGAGTGACGATGAGAGACGAGAAGGAAAAGGAAGGTTGGTACTCTGTAAATAGGAAGAAGAGATGTTAGTACAATAAACAGTAAACTGGTATCTAAAAAAATGGTTTGTAGCGGAGAAGTTCCTTATTTCTTATTTAAAATTTAGGAAAGTTATGCAGATAGAATGTTCAACTTGAGAGCCACAGGATGGAAAGAGAACCAAAGGACTTGTGAGAAAGATTCCATCTCAATAAATTAGCATGATGACCAAACTGCTGAAAGAGGAAAAGTGTTTCTAGGCTGGATGCATTGGCTACTGATTTTTTTTTTTTTTTCAAGAATTGGTAGAAATTGCCAACTCAAAGGTGGATAATGTGACTGTACTGCTTGAGCATAGGTTATTATGAGGTGTTGGGGATTGTGGCTTACTGAACAGTATATATTGGTTTGGGTTTTTCTGTACCATCTTATGAACTTTCGGGCCAACCCAATGCCTTATTTAAAAAACTGTTTAAAAGTTGCAATTGATGAGGAAATGCTGGATTGTGCTGCCAGATGTACTGATTTTTTTAAGAAGTCAGAAATGTGTATATTTACATGAAATTTCCAAATTGCTCAATGTTGGCCACTAAATCACATCAAAAATACCCATGTTGGTTGATCAAACATTTGTGGGTGCAATCTGGGCCATTACTTGCACGTGTCGGTCCCCCTGATTGGAATTTGATCTCCCCAGCCCCCTGGTTTTGTCCCCCTGAGAAACTTATTATCCTGGCTCAGTTGTTGGTTTCTTCAGTCTGTCTCCCCAAACGCGTCCATCACTGTCTCCTCTCCGCTACCCCAGTGCACGTGTCTATTCTATTTGTTCAGTTGGTGCGTTTTAGCTTGCCTGTCTCTCGTCTTCTGGGCTGTGGGGCTCCTGAGGGCAGGGCTGTCTCCCTCTGGTCTCTGTAGCCCAGATCCCAGGGGTGAAGTGACTGACTTCCCATGACCACAGGACAAAGTGGAAGTGGCCGGCACACAAAAAAGGAGGGTCATGGTGAAGTCACAATCAGCGGGAGGGTGTTAAAGACTCGATGAGCATTGATGACAGGGTTTTTGCTGCACTTTTGCTGCTTTAAACCCCACTGGTGCAAGTCAAAAACCCAAGAAACGGGTGCTAAGACAAAGTGAGAATAGCAATAAAAAATGCACAGGGTGAAGACGATGACAGGAGAAGCCAAAAACTGAAAAAAGGAAAATGGTCCAGTGTTTTATTCAGAAATACCTTAGGAAGACTGAGCTTAGAACACCATGTTTAGATTGTATTCAGTGGAATTGGGGAAGAGAATGCATAAAGCATCAGCAGCAGCATCATCTTAGAGCTAAAGTGGCACAGATTAGGTATTAATTATTGCCAAAGAAGTCCAGCTGCAGTACAGACATACACAAATGACAAAAGGATGGGAAGAGTGGGCTGAAAATTAAAAACAATAATGGAAAGAAGGGGAAGGATAAAACAAGTAAAGGGATAACAATGACTATTTATTATAAACTGATATAAAACATTTACATAAATGTAGTTGACTCTAGAGTGTAAATAATAGGAAATATGTATGACAGGAAAATGTCTCATAAATAAAACGTCCTTTCAGATAAAAAAGAGATGATAGATGAAAAACATTTTGGGAATTGAAAAGTACTGAACAAAAGTATATAAAAAATTTGAACTTGCAAAGCATTTAAGTTATGGGGAGGATATACACATTAAAATAGGGACCTTCAGGGACTTCCCTGGTGGTCCAGTGGTTAAGACTTCACTTTTCCTGTGCAGCGGGTGAAGGTTCGATCCCTGGTTGGGGAGCTGATACCCAATATGTCTCATGGCAAAAAAATAAAAACATTAAACAGAAACAATATGGTAACAAATTCAATGAAGACTTTAAAAATGGTCCACATCAAAAAATGTCTTTAAGAAAGATACGGGGCTTCAGTCTATAAACAAAGAAGCCCCAAACCTAAGGGTTTCTTTTCAGATTAGAGGGGGGAGGTAGAAGATCATGGTGGTTAAACACAGTTTCACATCCTGGCCCTGCCACTTTCTAGCGAGGCGGTCTTTGCTTCTCTGAGCCTCAGTTTCCTCTAGGAGAGTGGAGGTAATAATAGGTACACCTTGGGGGGTAGCTGTGAGGATTAATTAAGACAAGGCATGTAAAGCTCTTGGCATGAAGCCCAGCGCACTGCAAACACTCCATAAATGTTAGCTGTTATTATAAACTACTTGACAGGAAAGTCAGGGAGCAGAGAAACCTAAAGCATCTCTATAATTACATGAATTGTGATGAAACAAGTTAAACTCTTGCTTGGTTTTCTTCTAAATTGGATTTTGTAAGCTAAACATGATTTTCGCTGTATCTGAGAGCAGTTGCTAGGAGAAACTGGCAAAAGGCAATGAAGTGGTGAATTCAGCCATTGTTCCTAAAATAAGTATGAAATGAGATGGGAGGCTCTGGAACGACTTCTTCTCAGAGGGAAAAAACAACTTCCCAAATGAGAAGTCAGTCTAGGACGTTGACAGGATGGTGGTGGGAGAGACTCCAGAAGCAAGAGACACAGAAAACAAATCTCTGCACAAAGCTTATGCTGAGCCTTTGGAGCCTCCTCTCTGTGAAAGATATCTAGCTGGGAATCACATACAATCATTTGTGGAACTGTATGTTTAAGTACTTTAGGGAGAGAATGGAAGCTGGATGTTTGAGGAAAAGGAAGAAGAACCTGTAGAAATGTGCCCATTTCTTAAAAAAAGTTTTGGCTGTGTTACATGGCATATGAAATCTTAGTTCCCCAATGAGAAATTGAACCTGAGTCCTCTGTGTGGAAATGCAGAGTCTTAACCATTGGACCACCAGGTAAGTCTGACATGTGCCCATTTTATAGGTGGGAAAAGAAATGGTTTGAGGAGATGGTTTACAAAAGATCAGGTGCATGGGGGTGGGGAGATCAGGAAGATCCCCTGGAGTAGGAAATGGCAGCCCACTCCAGTGTTCTTGCCTGGAAAATTCCATGGACAGAGGAGTCTGGTGGGTTACAATCCAAAGGGTTGCAAAAAGTCGGACATAACTGAGCAATTGAACACACACACACACACCCCCCTATTATCAGCTGTGTGAATCAAACCTATTCATCTCCCTCAGACTCTGGGTCCTCAACTGTAAGAGAAGACCACTGCTCCCTCTACCTATGAGGGGAGCAAGAGGCTGAAATGAGATGGAGCTTGTAACGTGCTTAGTGAGAATAGGATGGGTGGTTCGCATTACTGTTTCTAACATTACCATCCCTAAAGCATAGCGCTAAGTCGTTTCAGTCATGTCCGACTCTTTGTGACCCCATGGACTGTAGCCTGCCAGGCTCCTCGTCCATGGGATTTTCAGGGCAAGAATACTGGAGTGGGTTGCCATTTCCTTCTCCAGACGATGTTGCCAACCCAGGGATTGAACCTGTGTCTTCTACATTGGCAGGCAGGTTCTTTACTAGTGCCATCTCACATTTGTGAGATGTTCTCATGTATTACATCCATAGAAACAGAATTTTATTTAATTCATTTCTATTCAAATGTATCACTTAATTTTGTTGCCTATAAGATAGGTTTAATAAGAGAAATGCATTCATTTTTATTCACAAAAAATTGGTAATTAATGTGACTCTTGACCTATTTAAAAGCAGGGGACCCCTAACTCTGCCCCAGGTCATGCATTTGCAGAGTTAGTTAAATAAAGTAAAAGAGAAATTTCTGAGACCTTTGGTTTGGCTTGATGGGTTTGTGACTAAATCAATGAGGAGGCTATGGAAATATGATTTATAAACCTCCTTTTGCATCTGGTACCTCATCCTTTCATGTACATGTTAGTGTCTGCTTTTGTGCACATCTTGGCAGTAAATGGGAGACAGATTTGGTCTAAATTGTTTTCCCAACAAAATCATTCTTTAGCTCTTAAGAATGAAGAAAGGACCATGGAAAGGATCATGGAAACTGTTCCAGCTGTGAGCAAGTAGCTATTATCTGTGAATAGCCCCTTGGATTCTTTGGCTAGTTACCTTTTGGTCCATGTTACTCTTTTAAGATGCTGTTGGTGACATAATCCAGCTCCTCTAAGTGGCTACTCATTATAGGGTGAGAAAGACTAAACAAATATAACCCTGCCAGATGCAAATCTAAGCTTCTCTCAGGAAAATCACAAAATGCCTTTTATGGAGCCGTTTAAATGAGTTACATGGATAATAAGCAGTGAGATTTACAAATATCTATCTAATGACTCCCTTTATTCATACTCAATATGGCAAATGGATATTCTAGAGGTTGCTAAATCAAATGATAAGTGCTTCAGCTGTTTAAATTCATCAAGTTTCTTTCTTAATGAAAACCAGACAGTGCTGGCTGATAAGAATGCTAACCAAATGGTCCCTTCCAGCCTGAAATGAACAGAGGGAAGTGTATATAAAGCAGAGAGATGATTTTGAACATACTGCACTTTAAAGCAAAAGCCTATGTAGCTCTTCTATTCTATAGCATACAGCAAACTTGTCTCTCAGAAACCATTGAAAATGAAATTCAAAATCGGTACCGCTTTTGCAAGCTTCACACCATGCTCGTAAGTGAGAGGTTTCTCCTTCATATATAGCAAACGGGCCAAAGTTTTGGGGTCATCTCGGAGATCAATCTGGCAAAAAACACACATGTAATACATTTATTCACTTTTTCAGGCCTTACCAGATATTTCAAACCCTGACATAATAGAGATGTTTTCCCACTTGACACTCATGAAATTGCTGAATTTTCTTTAAGGAAGTGCATACACATGGCCATATTATGTCTAGAAATTAAAGTGAGTTCTTTGTATGTGTATACCCCGGGCTTTCCTTATAGTTTTGCCTTCAAAACTATTATCCTGGGAAAGTGAAAGTTGCTCAGTCCTGTCCAACTCTTTGCAACCCCATGGACTGTCAGTCCATGGAATTCTCCAGGCCAGAACACTAGAGTGAGTCACCTTTCCTTCTCCAGTGGATCTTCCCAACCCAGAGGCAGAACCCAGGTCTCCCACATTGTAGGCAGATTCTTTACCAGCTGAGCCACAACGGAAGTCCTAGAATACTGGAGTGGGTAGCCTATCCCTTCTCCAGCAGATCTTCCTGACTCAGGAATTGAACTGGGGCCTCCTGCATTGCAGGAGGATTATTTACCAACTGAGCTATCATGGAACTTTCACTATTACCCTGGGAGCTGAGGACTTATTCAAATGATTCTGCGGCTGTTTCAAATGCTTTTGAAATTTCCTGTTTATTTCTAGATGCTACTTATAGGATATACAAAATAATCAGTCTTATTACTTTGCAGTGACGCCTCATTTGGTCTCTAGTTATATTACCAATTCTCTAATAGTTTATTTCCTGGCTCTGATTATATGTATATTATATACATAGACTTTTCCAAACCAAATCTTCATACTCAAAGGGATGAAGATTTGTCACTTGTGAGGATATTCTAAAGAATGTGCTGTAGGTTCCGAAGGCAAGTTCTAAAGAGGAATTTCCAAGGGGCTTGCTTAAGGAATAAACATTAATCTTTTCAAACATAGAACTACTTCAAAAATAACGTTCATGTGTGGATGAAGGTTGAAAATTTAAATATTTAAGTTGCTTTAATCTCTCACTGTGTGTGTGAACCCATGCATACATGCATGCGTGTCAATATGGGCACATCAAAGCTTGTGTTTTAAAGAACAAATGACATTAGGATCCCCTTTGAAAGCCCATTTCTCAGCTTTACAACTTTGTGGGTGGGTTTCATTTTTTTGCCTTAATTTTTTAACTTAGTGCCCATGAGTTATAAAAGGATTTGGATCATACAAAGATGTTGGCATGTCCCATTATATATTTTCTTACCAAATCGTCAAACATTATCATCTAGAGTTAAGGCAAAAGATTTTATTTAAACAAACAATTATCTTTCAGAGCAGAAGTGTTAATTGTATTTATGGATCTGTTAGTTCTCTGTCCACATATTCTCTTGGCAATATTTTCCTTTCTCTTACTCACTTAAAAATTTTTCTTGGTCAAGCAGAATGTAAAATGAGAAATAGAAAGCAGCTGCATATGAAACAGACAACAATAAAGCTCTTCAGTATCATTACATTTCTATGTCTTTGGGATAGTAATTTGGGTTTTAACATAGCAAAGAACAATCTATTTAAAACTATAAAAAGCTAGAACAATCTCTAATGTGTTTGGGAACTGGCTTACTGTTGGAAATTCAAACTATGGAAATTTATTAGCTTTCAAAACACTCTAAAGTCTTTTACAATTGCAGCTTTGTCTGATATATATCTGTTTTAATATCATTTCTAAGATCTGAAAGACCAGGGGCCTTCAAGGGAATAGGGAGCAGTGACTTTCTGTCTTCCTTTTCAAGGACTGTTATTGAGGAGTTTCTGTCATAATGAGCCTATCCTGATTGCTGTGGTCATTTTGACATTCACACCTATTTTGTGACTTCCAAACAATCACGGATTTTAGATATAAAAAAAATTAGGTAATAAGTGTAATTGACATTTACACCTCATTCCTCTGACTCAGAACTGGAGAAGGGTGTCTGTTTAAAAAATGACTTTGTTTTTTAAAGACAAAAAGTGGAGAGAAGAATTTTTAAAGGCCCCACGGAAACTTCCTGTTACATATGCTTTCAACCGTGGGCTAGATAACCACATGGTTCATAATAAAGGCTGTTCATAGGACTGTTGTACCTGAGACCCTGTATTCAACAGTGATTGGTAGAATAGGATGTTCTGGGAATGCCTACAGGGTCTTTGCATTTGGTTAGCCCTCCACGGCCACCCTACCCGGCCACGCCGCCGTCTAACCTGGGTCCCTATGAGGACGTAAGGCACGTGAGGCATGCATTCCTTCAGCTCAGGGACCCACTCCTCCTGGACGTTGTGATAAGAGGCAGGGTTTACGACAGAGAAGCAGATCAAAAACACATCAGTGTTGGGGTAGGAGAGCGGCCTCAGCTGGTTGTAATCCTCCTGTGGGAAGAGCAAAGAGTCTGTGTGTTTGTATTGATGCAACAGGGTGAGGTGCGGCCCGTGTGGTTCCAGGAGTGACGCAGACTTTAGATTCCACCGCAGCGTCCTCGACACCGTTCCTTCCCGACCCCGGAATCTGGGGGTTCCCTGTATTACCAGAAGTAAAGGAGCCGTCGGCCAGGAAAACACTGTTGTGTACAGAGCAAGTATGAATTGACCTCTTTTAAGATGAACTAAAAACAAAAACCAAAACAAAAACCCTTTAAAACATTTTAAAATAGTTTTAGTGGGATAATTTACATAGTATAAAGTCCATCTGTTTAATGTCTATAACTCAAGAAGAATTATTGCAATTCTTGTGCCTATGGGAATTGTGTTGTATTGAATATGGATTTAAATTAGTGGGCCATTGGCCAAGGCACAGAAATTCTCTCCTTATGTAATTTTTTAAAAATTGCATTGAAATTCAATTTAAAATAAGCTAACTAAAATGCAAAGCAACGAGTTGTTGCTAAAGCATACACCACAATATTTGAAGAAACATATTGTGTGAGGGGTTAGAGCTAAGAATTTGGGATTTGTTTCTAAATCTACCTAAAAGCCATATTGTGACCTAATAAATAAGATACCAGATTAATGAATTTTCCCCAAAGACTTTTCAGACCAGAATATGCTTTGGTTGAAGAGCTTGTGGTTGCATAAGATGTTTATGTATATGCTATTTTAGTGGGAGATGATAGAGACAAAGAAAAATGTTGGATCATCTCAACTTTGGGAAAAGTCAGCAAGTACCTTTTATTGTATGTAAAATATTTTAGGAGGTTCCAAGGTGTAAAATCTGCTATTTCATTAGAAGTTTTTATCTATTGTCATAGAATTTGGTAACACAGTAACTTTAAGTGTGTGTGTATATTTTATATGTATATACTATATACACATTAATAATACATGTTCTCACGTACCACAATATGTCACAAATGTTCATACACACTACAGTACACTTCATATACATATACATACTACATCCAAGCAGACATTATACATATATAGGTGCAACCAAATCTGTATGTTCACAGTTATATTGTCCATTTCTATGTACATATGTGTATTAATTCATTTATTAGGGTCTGTCCTTACTATTCTAACATTAAAAAAATTACAAAACATATATGCTCATTGTAAATATTCAAACATTATGTAAGGACATAGAATTAGAAGTAAAAGTTTGTTTCTATCCAGTGCTTTATCTCTAATAGTTTTTCCTCTCTTCCCAGATGGAGCCATTATGTAACAGTATCCTTCCAAACTTTTAACATTTATTTACATATATAACATATACATGTTTATTTAAAAATTAATTGATTATATAGCTTAAATTGTTGTGTGATTCTTGCTTTTAAAAAAAAATTTGTTTATTTATTTGACTGCATCAGGTCTTAGGGAGGCATGTAGGATCTTTATTGCATCACATGAGATCTTTCATTGCAGTGTGTGGACTCTCTAGTTGTGGCCCAGTTACTTGCTCTACAGCATGTGGGATCTTAGTTCCCCAACCAGGGATTGAACCCACATCCCCTGCATTGCAGGATAGATTCTTAACCACTGGATTACCAGGGAAGTCCTGATATTTGCTATTTTAAACTTAATATGTATGGATATTTAAAAATATCGACCTCACTATCTTTCTATTGACTCTAATGACATCTTTATTAAAAGGGGGTGCACATGGCCATGTACACGTGAGCCTGGGAGGATCCCCTTTGGAATGTCAGGCGCGGTCATCTCTGGTTGGTCAGCATGCATTTATCCGTCATTCAGTGCCCAGCACACAGGGGCTTAGTACACTATTACCGCTTTTAATTCTATCACAGCCTAAGCAAAATGCAGTGCAGGCTGGCAAGGATGCTGAATAATCCCAAAATCCTAAAAAAGTGAACTAGAAACACACAAAAAGTCAGTTATTGTGGCTCATTTACCACATTTCTATGAAAGCAATTAATTGGGAGATGAATATGTTGCTTAAAAACTGATTGGACCAGGCCTACGACTGCATCTCAGTCAAGTTGTACCCATGTCTGTATGTGTATGTCTGCATGTTGAGGCTGGTAGTGGTGGGAGGGGACAACATCTTTTATCAGTACCTCCTCCTCTGTACACAACTAGCCCTAAAGCCAAACCTCTCCCAGGGTCTCTCTCCCCTCTCCCCTCTCTCTCACGGTAGCTGTGAAGTCCACAAGCTGAGAACTCTCCTTCCCAGCCCATGATCTATGGGTTCACAACACCACCTCCTCCCTGTCACTGCATCCTCTCCTCTGCATTGTCGTAAACGGAGTAGGGGCTGTGCTGTGTTTTCTCGTGCCCCACTTACACTCCGTCCGTAGCAAATATTCCATAAGTGCTATTGATTGACTGGATGACACGGGGCCTGCTGTGATCTGCAAATGAACACATGGCTTTTCTATGGATCATTTATTGTAGTTTTCATAAGAATCACCTGGGGAGATTTAAAAACCTCCCGATGCCCTGCTAGCCAACTACCTGCCTCTTCCTTCCCTACCCTGGGATCAGTGAAATCAGAATCTCCTGAGAGTGGGTTTGGGCATCTGGGTATTCTGATTTCACTGGCCTGAGGTTGGCATGGAGTTGAGAACAACTGAATTACATCACCTTGACTAGCAACTGAAGATATATCAAGGGCTTATTACTAAGGGCCAGGCACTGTTTCAAGCTCTTTCATGTATGATCTAGTTGAATCCTCTCACTAGCCCTGAAAAGATGGTACATCAACTTCCGAATTTCATAGAAGAGGAAATTAAGGGTTAGAGAAATTCAACACCGGACCAAAATTACAGAGCTTAAACACCAGGATAGTGTATTTGGCCTGAATCCAGCTCTAGCTCTTAATTGTGAACAAGTAATTTGTTTCAGCCAAGAATTTTAAGTGACAGATTAAGCACTTCCTTGAAAATTCAATTCTCTAGGAATCTTAATATGGACTGATGCTTTACCCAAGGATCTAGGAAAAGAAATGTTAGACCCTGGGGTGGGTGTAGTTACCTATTTCTATAGAACTAAAAGGCCTGTCTCTAGGTCTGCATCTACCAGCAAGTACCACCAGATGGCAGCAGACACTGTATATTTAAAACCTCAAAGCCTAAAAAAACAACACAATTGGGAGAAAAGTCACAACTGGACAAATCGGGTCACAACTAGATAAGCAAATAACTGGTGGTCTGAAAGGATCATGTTTACTTGGTTCTTTACCCAGAAACTCTCAAAGGAATTCTACTTACATTACGGGAAAGTTAGGAAGACCCTGGGTTGCTGGATTAACGGTAGGTGGGAAAGTGCCAGCAGTTTGGTTTGTTGATAATTTTCTCTCCTAGTAGGTCCAGCTGGGTGACTTCTGACTGCATCCTTCATTGGGCTTTATGCTGCTCTGTATTCTGGCTCTCTCCTCTGTGGAAACTTTAGTGCTGCTCTATGTACTGGGCTGTGCTTAGTCGCTTAATGGTGCCCGACTCTTTGCGACCCCATGTACTATAGCCCATTAGGCTCCCCTGTCCATGGGGATTCTCCAGGCAAGAGTACTGGAGTGCGTTGCCATGCCCTCCTCCAGGGGATCTTCCCCACCCAGGCATTGAACCCAGGTGTCCCGCATTGCAGGTGAATTCTTCACCACCTGGGCCACCAGGAAAGCTCAATCCTGCTGTATAATTCCAATTAAAAAGATTAATTAATTTCCTACTGAATGCCTAGCATATAGCATTAAGGATGCTATAAGAACTATACAAGGTAAATAAGAATTGGAAATCTGGTTGGGAAAAAAAATGAAAATATGGGAAACAATTCGATTTATGTGAAAGTGAGAGGTGAAATTTCTCTTGTGTTAGTTGCTCAGTCATGTCCAACTCTTGTGACCCCATGGACTGTAGCCCACTAGGCTCCTCTGTCCATGGGATCCTCCAGGCAAGAAAGTTGGAGTGGGCAGCTATTCCCCTCTCCAGGGGATCTTCCCAACCCAGGGATCGAACCCAGGTCTCCTGCATTGCATGCAGATTCTTTACCACTGAGCCACCACGGAAGCCTTGCTTTTAGTTAACTCCCTGATAATAGAATACTATAGAATAGTTTTTAACTGAATTGGGAAAATACAATTCCAAGGCTGGAAGAGGTCTTAGAGATCATTAGTGCAGTGGCTCCCAGAGGAGCATGGGCATCACCTGGGAGCTCGTGAGGGATGCACATTTCCAGGTGCTGGCCAGCCTTCTGAAGCTGAGGTTCTGGGAGCAGGGCTGCCCCCTCTGTGACCTAATGGGTCCTCCAGGTGACTCCATTGTAGACACTGAATGATTGAATCGGGGCCACAGAGCAAGCGTACCATTAAAGAAGGCTCACACCTGGGCTGGCCTGACTCATTTCAGCTCCTCTTCCCCACGGACTGTAGCTGTAAAACACGCAGGGGCTTCAGGCTTAATATAAGTAAGTGTTCCCTCGGCCTGATGGCTGGGGACTGGGAGGTTGGGGGACTTGAATTTCTACCAGCTGATAACTTGATTTTTTTTTTTTTGCTATGGAGCATGTTTTGAGTGGGAATCCATGGTGGCTCAGCTGTAAAGAATCTGCCTACCGGTGCAGGAGATGCAGGTTCGATCCCTGAGTCAGGAAGATTCCCTGGAGAAGGAAATGGCAGCCCACTCCAGTATTCTTGCCTGGAGAACCCCAAGGACATAGGAAACTGGCGGGCTATAGTCTGTGAGGTCACAGAGTCAGACACGACTGAGCGACTAAACCACCGTGACCATGTTTTGAGTCTTGGTTGGATGCGCACGTGTCGAGATGGGGTAAAGGGTCAGTGGTCTATCTGGTATTTGAGACCCCTTCCAATGTTGAAACTGATAATGGAAGACTGCAACAGTGACTTGAATGGGGCTTCAAGGGCTAAAGTAGACAGAGGCTGGGGTGGGGGTGGAGAGAAGGGTGGGATGTTGTAAAGGTAG